TAGGCCAGGGGTCAAACTAATTAGCCTGGCGGGCGCAGCAGGCAAAGAAGGGCGACAAGGACTGAAAAGAAGAGCACCTTGGAGCATGCGTACGCCAGGTAAAGGAACAGCAAGCCTGGTTAACTTTGCTACCTAAACCCATTCCAATAGTCCCCTCCCATTCTCTGTATTGTGGCCAGGCCAGCTGTGTGGCAAAGGCATGCAGGTGTCAGTAGAATTATTCGTCTCCTCTCCCTCCCCTCCCCCTTCCCTCGTCCTGGGCGCGCCTTTGGCTCTCTGGAGCTTTTGAATAAGAAGCCCCCTGCGGCTTCGGAGGAGGTCCTAGAGCTTCCCACAAGCCTTTGGAGGCCTTCTGACCCTTTTGAACAGCCCGCGGGTGCGGGGGACGAGAACAAGGACGAGGACGAGGACGAAGTCGGACGGTGACGAGGACGAAGGAGGACGAGGAGGAGGGAACGGCTTTTCAGAAGGCGGCGGCGAAGCTTCTCAAAAGGAGGCATGCCAAGCTTCCTCCGAAGCAGCACAGAGGGCCTCTCAAATGGCCGGAGGCCTTCGGAGCCTTCTGAGAAGGACCGCTTTCTCTGCCCTCACCCTGGACGCACTGCCGCTTCCTGATGATCGACCACGAGCTCTCAAGCAATCGGGCACACTGATCGCGACCCGCTGATGCCTGGAACAAGTTATAGGAAGGGGCTGGGCACGAAAGGAACAAGCTGGCACATCTCATGGCGTGAAGTGGATGGTTCGTTGGGTTGTCTGCGCTGCCCTGCGTTACTCTGCCGCTCCGCGCCGCGAAATCCATTGCATTGCGCGGTTTTGCCCAGGGTTGTGCTGCTTTGACCTGAATTGTCTGCCGCTGCAGTGGCTTACACTGTTATGTTGCATTGCATACCGTGTGAATGTGTTTTGTTCTGCATTGCATTGCATTGCATTGCACTGTTTTGGCTTCCAGTGATTTGCACTGCAGTACTTAGCAATACACTACAGTGGCTTGCTTCGCACAGAGCTGCACTTGCACTGCACTTGCACTGCAGCCCTTGGCACTGCAGGATCTTGGCGTTCCAGCGCGTTGCTTTGCGCCGCGCTACGTCATCAGAACCGCTGCGCGTGCACTGCGTGTGCACCGTGGAGGAGGAGGAGGAGGAGGAGGAGGAGGAGGAGGAGGAGGAGGAGGAGGAGGAGGAGGAGGAGGAGGAGGAGGAGGAGGAGGGAGGGAAGGGGGGGAGGGAGGAGGGGAGGGAGGGGAGGGGAGGGGAGGAGAGGGGAGGAGGAGGAGGAGGAGGAGGAGGAGGAGGAGGATGGTTGAGGATGGTGCGTTTCATGGTGGAGGCCCTCGAGGCAGAGAGTTTTGCTTTTCTTGAGGCACCAGGAGCGGAGGCATCCCCAGGGAACCCCAGCCTCGGGAGACCCTCGCTACCGGCCCGCTTGCACGCGCGCAAGAGTCCAGCGGTCGACGTCGTTGCCGTAATTGTCAAGGTCGTCGTTGGAGGCGGAGGGGGGAGGGAGAGGGATTTGTGTCTTGCTTCTTTCGTGGGCTGCAGGATTCGTAGGACCTTCGCTCAGGGCCGCCCCCTTAGGGCCCGTTGTGGCGCCATCCCCGCGACCGGTGAGGGAGGGAGGGGGGGGTGGAGGGAGAAGGAAGGAAGAAAGGAGGAAGGAAGAAAGAAGGAAGGAGCAGGGAGGAGGAAGGAAGAGGAGGGGGGAGGAAGGAGGAGGAGGAGGAGAAGGAGGAGGAGGAGGAGGAGCAGCAGGAGGAGAAGCAGGAGGAGAAGCAGTAGGGTTCCGAGAAGGAGAAGGCATGTGGAGGAGAAGGAGCAGCAGGAGGAGGTGGAGGAACAGGCAGCGCCTACGGGGCAAGGCCGGAGTTGGGGCGTGCGGGCGCAGGTCGCCGACCATGCGGCCGCGGTGCAGCTGCGCCGCGCTGCAGAGCGCAGCGATTGCAGCGCAGAGCCCTGCTTATTCTCCCCCTCCTCCTCCTCCTCCTCCTCCTCCTCTCCCTCCTCCTCCTCCTTCCACCTCCTCCTCCTCCGCCTCCTCCTCCGCCTCCTCCTCCCTCCTCCACCTCCTCCTCCTCCTCCTCCTCCTCCTCCTCCTCCTCCTCCTCCCCCTCCTCTTCCTTCTCCTCCTCCTCCTCTCGTCCTTCTCCTCCGTCTCCTCCACCTCGTCCTCCTACTCCTTCTCCACCTCCCCCCTCCTCCTCCTCTCCCCCCTCCTCCTCCTACTCCTCCTTCTCCTCCTCCTCGTCCTCCTCCTCGTCCTCGTCCTCCTTTTGTGTGAGCACCAACTCCGCTGGGTGGCCAGACCATTTGGGCGGGTGGCAGGATGGCCATCGCCGTCGTGATCGGCAACGACTTTCTTCCTCTTCTTCCTACCTCTCTTCGGCAGCGGCAAAAACAGCAACGCATATCTTCAAGAGCAGCCAAAACAAGCCCAAAAACAAAACACTACCCGAAACGAACCCAACCGTTTCTCCACACAAAGCGGCCGTTATGAACCCTCC